CATGGTAGTGGATGCCTGTAATCCCAGCACTGGGGAGGCGGAGGCAGGAGGATCACTGTAAGTTCAAGGCCAGCCTCAGCTACATATTGAGTTCAAGACCAGCCTGAACTGCATAGCAAGACCTTGTTAAAAAAAAAAAAAAAAAAAAGACACCTGAAGTATAAATAATTTAAAGAGCAAAGTAAAAGATAGCATGGCCGGGTGTGGTAGCACATGCCTGTAATCCTAGCACTTGGGAGGCGGAGGCAGGAGGATTGTTTCAAGTTTGAGAACAGCCTCGGGAACAAAGTGAGCTCAAGGCCAGCCTGAGGGGCATATTGAGACCATGGCTCAAAAAAAAAAAAAAAAAAAAGAGCATGAAATAAGGAGCTAGATCCTCTGCAAATGGCAAGGAAAACTAGAGTAGAGGAAGAAGGAGGGGAAGGGAGATCAAAAAAAGTAGAGAATGAAGATGTGTTATGTACTCATACCAACTCCCCACGATGAATGCAGTCATTGGTGGAGAATTGGTACCAGCGGTGGAATTACAGTTCATGCTGCCATGTTCGGCTTTATTTGATTTCTTTTTTTTTTTTTTTTTTTTTTTTTTTTTTTTTGGGATAGGGTCTCCCTATGCGGTTCAGGCTGGCCTTGAGCTCACTTTGTAGCCCAGCTGGCCTCGAACTCACAACGATCCTCCTGCCTCAGCCTCCCGCGTGCTGGACTTACAGGCATGCGCCACCACGCCTGGCTTGATTTCTTGATAATAGCTGTTCTTTCTCGAGTAAGATGGAATCTCAGTGCTGTTTTTGTTTGCATCTCTCTCATGGCCAATGGTGCTACTTTTTCATGCAGAAACATGTGCCATGTTTCACTATAAACAAGACTGGGTCTTACATTAATTTTTGCTCCAAAAGACACAATAGGGCTTATTTTCAGGGATGTCTTATTTTTTTCATGTATAATGATCGACATTTATTCATTTATTCATGTACCAAAATTACATTTATTTATGTACAAAAGTCTACATTTATTCAAATACAGGCATGTCATCTTCCGGAGCATCTCATAACTCTCCAAGCCCTGAATTCCGGCCTGAGTGTCCTGCGACTCCATTCCCTATAAACCTTTGGGCCCAATTGCTCATGTCCAGCACCAGAGCTCACGTTAAATGAGCACCTTCTATGTCGTCTGCTCATGGTGCACTGGAAACACTGCAGTCAGTGTTTTATCCCAGGAATTCTTCACCCAAGCCATGGTCTCCTGCAGGCTGGCCTTCATTCACAAAGTTTCCGTTAAAGCAAGAGTTCAGGGAAGACTTAGGAGACAAGACCGGCAACAAAAACGAAGACAGTTAAGAATGATCGGGCCGGGCGTGGTGGCGCATGCCTGTAATCCTAGCACTTGGGAGGCTGAGGCAGGAGGATCCTTGCAAGTTCGAGGCCAGCCTGGGCTACAAAGTGAGCTCAGGGCCAGCCTGAACTACATAGTGAGACCCTGTCTCAAAAAGACCAAAAAAAAAAAAAAAAAAAAGAATGATAGTCCCCACAAATGCAATGAAAAATTGCAGGCATCAAAATTCAGAAGAGAGTTCTTTATTTCCCTCAAGTGTGCTAGGAATGTCCGTTACAGCACGTGATGCATGGGATGGAGAAGATTCCTATTAGACTCAAGCGCAGCTGTTCGTATCAAGCGTGCAGGTTTCCATGCGCTATCTGTGCTCCCACTGGTCATTCGGGACAGTCTCGGGTTTATCTGTGTATGTAGGAGTTTGCCTGTCTTCCAAAGGTGCTCCCTTGGGTATTTACAAATACTTAGTTATAATTTATATTATAATTTATTTTAAGTGTTCGTGTCATTAATCCTATCTACTTATATATTAATATATTGTCTTTTAACTCAATGTGTCTGCCGTGTGTTGCAGTGGCCATTCTACATGTGTCCATCTGGCTGATGATCTTAACTGGGGCTTATTTTGGGGGTAGGGCCTATATTAGGAGCAACCTGAAAAAAATCATGGTAAGGCTTATTTTCCAGATAGGTCTTTATTTTTCAGGGAAATGTACTAATAAAAATACATTTTACGAAAGGAAAATTGCTCTTTTTTTTTTTTTTTTTTTTGGTACCAGGACTCAAACTCAGGACCTTGCACTTGCCAGGCAGGTGCTGTGCCACTGAGCTATATCCCCAGCCTGAAAATGGTCCTCTTAAAGCTCATGACAGATTAATAAGCAACCAAGGGAAACAAAATCTGTTTTGTGACTTTTTATTTGCACAGCTGGCCTCTCTCTTTCTCTCTCTCTCTCTTCAGTGTTGGTCTTAGACATTGTGGACAAGCACTCTATCACTGAACTACACCTCTGCCCCCACCCAGGGCTGGTGGTGTTGGCATGGTCTTCCTATATAGTTCAGGCTGGCCTTAAACTCACTATGTTGCTCAGGTTAGCTTTGTACTTGCGGTGATCCTCCTGCCTCAGCCTCCCGAGTGCTGGAATTACAGGCGTGCACCACCACACCCGGGAGCATTTGGCCGTTTTTAAGAGAGTGGCCTTGTCAGTGAGAAAAGGATCCATAGGGCCCTTCGGAACCTCACAAAAGCCTACAACTCCAAGATTTTCCCGTCAACCAGGGGAGGGCTCAGGGTGGTGGAAGCAGGTACAAGGCTGAAGTTATTTCCTGCTAATAAAACGAACTGAGACTTTATTCCTTTTATACAAAATTTAAATTTACAGACTAGTCAAGAGATTTGCCTTTTAAATTACATCTATGTAGTTTTGTTTGTTTTGCTTTTGGTACCGGGAATTGAACTCAGGACCTTGTGCTTGCCAGGCAGGCACTTGTGCCACCGAGCTACATCCCCAGCCCTAAACTACATCTAGCTCTTTGTGTGTGTGTGTGTGTGTGTGTGTGTGTGTGTGTGTGTGAGAGAGAGAGAGAGAGAGAGAGAGAGAGAGAGAGAGAGAGAGAGAGAGAGAGAGGAGGGAGAGGGAGAGATAGAGGGAGAGGGAGGTTGATTCCAACTAAAGGAAGTTTCATGAAAAGGTAGCTCCAGGAGGTAGCTTCCCCTTTCTCGGAAGAAACGGCGCAGCCTGCAGGGCCTGGCTCTCCGCTCTTCCACCCAGGCTTGCTCTGCAGCTGTGTGCACTTGTGTAAAGGACACCAAATAACAAAGCGTCTCCTGCCCCTCCTCTCCCGGTGCCCCCCTAATGCACTGGCGCTCCGCAGAGGGTGTGCGAGCCTCTGCAGGAGGCCGCTGGGGCTGGGCGGCCGGGAGCAGCTGCCTTGGGGGCCTGGCGCCGGCCCTCCCGGGTCCTTCTACCAGGAAGAATCCCTCCCTTCCCTTGCTCTGTTGATTCTTTTTTTCTTTCTTTCTTCCTTTCTCTCTTTTTCTTTTTCTTTTTTTTTTTTTTGTCTTTTTGAGACAGGGTCTCACTATGCAGTCCAGGCTGGCCTCGAGCTCACTCTGTAGCCCAGGCTGGCCTCGAACACCCAGCGATCCTCCTGCCTTAACACCCGGGGTTGAGGTGAACAGCGCGGCAGGAGCTCGACGCGTCCCGGGCCACAGCAGGCTACCGCGCCGTCTCCGTCCCTGCCCGCCCTCGCTGTGTCCCCGGCCCGGAGAGCGGCCGCCTCCCGTCCCGGCTCCCGCGGGGACCGGATCGCTCGTGTTCGGGACGCTGCCCCACGGGCTTGGTCCCCCTCCTTTCCGGTGTTGATGAGGCCCGGTGTCCCCACTCCGGGACTGCCGCACCTTCCAACTCCGAATCCAATTTCGTAGCTCTCAGTGTTTTTCAGGTCAGTGGAAACTTTTTAAAAAACATTAAGCCGATGCACTCTTACTTCAGAAAGGGAGCTTTGTTCTGTTCCTCTCTGTAACTGATGTGCCTGGTACTTCCCGGATGTTGAAAGCAAGGGATACCCTATATTTGCAGAGAGCATACTAGCTTGGGGTGCTGTAAAAATGACCAGCACTAAGAATCCCTCCCTTCCCTTGCTCAATTGATGCCTGCTTGCTTGCTTTGTTTTTTCTTGTTCTTTTTTTTTTTTTTTTCCTGGTCTTTTTGAGGCAGGATCTCGCTATACAGTTCAGGCTGGTCTTGAGCTCACTTTGTAGCTCAGGCTGGTCTCCAACTCGAAATGATCCTCCTGCCTCAGCCTCCTGAGTGCTGGGATTGCAGGCGTGCGCCACTACGCCCTCCTCTCCTTTTTCTGACTGCTATGTTGAATCTTAGAATCAGCCTGGCAGGTGTTACACAAGAGAAGGGCTCTTCACAGCTGTGTGCATGTGCTTAGCACAGGGCCTGAGCTACAGCAGATCGAATATTTGCTGAAGAAATGAGGAGAATCTGAGAGAAAATCTGAGAGAAAAGAAAAATACTCTTTATTCTTGGGGGCTTGTGTGCTAGAGATCATACCCCGGGCCTCATATATGTCAGGCAAGTCCTCAACTGCCGAGCTACATTTCTGGCCTATTTTGTTTTGCTTCTGAGGTAGGGTCCCACTAACTAGCCCTGGCTGGCCTCCAACATGTGATCCACCTGCCTCAGCCTCCCAAGGACCCAGTGTGCCCTGGCTGAAGGTACATTCTTAAGGGCCTATGGGGCATTTCAGTAGTAAAACACTTGCCTGACACATGCAAGTCCTTGGTTTTGATCCCTAGCACTGAAAAAAATAATAATAACAATAAAAATAGGGACTGGGGATTTAGCTCAGTGGCATGGTGCCTGCCTGGCAAGTGCAAGGTCGTGAGTTCGATTCCCAGTACTGGAAAAAACCCAATAAAAATATAAACAATGATGCACTCTTTTCCTCTTTGCTTAGCTAATTATTGGGGAAATACCTCAGAGAAGAACCTTATTGGAAACAGAGGGACCTTTAGGAGCCAGAGGAGCCTTTAGCCCCCAGAACTGCTAGGGTCCTGGCCTGGCTTTTGTTTTTTTTTTTTTTTTTTTTTTTTGAGACAGGGTCTCACTATGCAGTTCAGGCTGGCCTTGAGCTCACTTTGTAGCCCAGGCTGGTCTCAAACTCGCAACAATCCTCCTGCCTCAGCCTCCTGAGTGCTGGGATTACAGGCGTGTACCACCATGCCCGGCTCTGGTCCTGGCCTCTGGATTCCCCAGCAGACTGAGTCATAGCCTTGGCCCTGCCTGTTCAAAGGCCGAGAACAGACATAGCTCCTGGTTATTTCATGTCTGGGACAATTAAGTGACGGCCCTCTGCTCAGCTTCAAAAGTTGAGTGCCTGGGGGCCGGGCGGAGGGAGGTTGGTGATCAGGACACCCTGACCACCGCTTTCTATGACGCTGGGTGAGGCAGAGGCCAGGGATATTTGGGGAAGTGTTCAAAGCGTCCCACACAGACCCTGAGGTTGAGCGTGGCCCTCCCTGGAGATCACACCGCTCTAAGTCTATATTGTCCTGAGTTGTGCCGTGGGGCCGTGAGTGCTGAGCTCCAGGGAGGACCCCGCCATTCACGTGAGCGCGGGTGCGGGTGCGGAGGGTGGCGGTGGGAGGCTGGCACAGTTGCACAAGGAAGAAGATCAACAGGTCCGAACTGGCCAGCGCGAGGGAGCCGGGCACGGCTGGTTGCTCAGGCAGTGTACGTCCCGAGTTCACCACCACTCTGCTGACTGGGATTCACTTTTCTTCAGGAGCCTGGAGTGCTTGTGGTCCTGCATCGAGTGAATTAAAGTACACTATCACAGGCAAGAAACTAAAAGTTTAGCCAGTTGTGGTGGTAGCAGAGTCCTGTAATCCCAGCACTCTGGGAGGCTGAGGGAGGAAGATCACTCACAAATTTGAGCCCAGCGTGGGCAATGTAGTTATCGGGAATCATCAAGGTTATCTGGCCATTCTTTCTTTCTATGCTTTTTTTTTTTCCCCCAGTACCGGGAATCGAACTCACGACCTCGCGTTTGCCAGGCAGGCGCTGTGCCGCTGAGCTAAATCCCCAGCCCCTGGCCATTCTTTCTTTAAAGAACACATGCAGCTGGGCGATGGGTGAGTAGCACAGCTTTAACTCTCCCCCTGTAAGCTACGCGCAAGAACCCCGCATGCATCCCTAGGTAATCGAGCCTTTTCTTCCCCTAAAACATCCCAATAAAACATCAGAGGTCCCTTTCAAGCACACACACGCAGAGCTCATTCTGATCTCCTTGACCGCTAGCATTAGCCAATCTCTACGTATTTGTTAATTAGTTTTACCCAGAAGGACTGTTGCTAGCAACCAAGGGCACTGGGCCCCGTGAGACAAAAACATCACCTCAGTCTTCAGCAACACCCGCCGTCTTAGACCTGAGGTGGGCGGACGATGGACCCACTGGGACCTGATGAAAGCATTCCGAGGATGGCATTTTAGGGCCCCTCCCTGTTAAAATCAAATATAAAAATCTCAGCCTCCCACCCAGACGGTGCGGCCCTCACGGGCAAAGGTGGCTGTGAGCAGGGACCCCTCGGGATGGCCAGCAGCAGCGAAGACGGGTTGTTTAAGCCCCAGAACCAGCTTACAGGCCGGCACCTCTGGACCCCGCAGAGGGCAGGAGGGCAGGACCGGTTGTTGGTGGGGTGTCTCCCAGTGTTCCTGGTGGGGCTGGGACCTGTGCTGGTCTCTGACGGACACATGGCCTCCCCTGGGCGGTGGACTCTGGGGCCCTGCGTTGTCATTGAGCCGCTGCCCCTCCTCCACAGGGCAGGGCCTCAGCTCGCCCTCCCCCAGCAGGGTTCCCCAGGTCCCCCTTGATTCTGAGCCCTGGCTACTCACGCCTTGGCTAACGACTGGCTTCTCCCATTACACCCCGGGCGGAGGTGAACGCTCTTAGAGAGGGCAGCTGACTCACCGGCTTTCCCGTGGGCCTGGCGCAGGGCCTCATAGGCCGCACGGTGCGCCTGCCATGTTCTCCCTGTGTCTGTGAACCTTAAAATTCACCCAGGCCAGAGCCCGGGGTGCTGGTGCAGGCCTGCAATCCCAGCACCTGAGGCAGGAGGGCTGCAGGTTTGAGGTCCGTCTAAGAGATTTGCAAGACTCTGTCTCAAAATTTGAAAAAAGGGTTGGGAATGGATCTCAGGGGCAGAGCACCCCCGGGTTTATCCCCGGTACCGGGAAAAAAAACTCAACCTGGTTAGGATAAAAGTCATTGAGATTCATGAGAAAACCAGTCCAACCTGTTCTCCCGGCCGTGTTTTCTCCGGCACACTTAGGTCCTGAAGCGTTTTGTTTTCTCAACTTAGTATTATCCTCCTATCAGCGTTCACTTCACACGGGGCACCTTGTAAAGACGGGAAGCACCCAGCAAAGGGAAATTTTAGGCACTGGATGAACCCCCAGGGCTGTCTGCACACATTTGGTGGCTTAAAACGACAGAGGCGAATTCTCTCACGGCTCTGGAGAAGCCACTGGCTCAGCTGTCTCCTCTGCCTCCTCCTAGCTTTTTATTCAGAGACAGTGGCTCACTGTGTGGCCCGGGCTGGGCTCCAGCTCCTGGGCTGAAGCGATCCTCCTGGCTCAGCCTCCCGGGGACCTGGGACTGCAGGTGCATCCCACCGCACCCGCCTCCTGCCCTCTTTGAATAAAGACGCCGGTCATTGCTTAGAGCCCACCTAACCCAAAATGACACACCTGTAAACACCTGCAAATGCTGCACAGTCACCTGGGCCTGCGGACACAGCTCCGTGGTGGAGGGCTCGGCCGGCCTGCCCGAGGCCCTGGGTTCAACCCGGCGCAGGAGTGACATTCGCGCGTTTGCCACCACAGGGCCCAGTTCCTCAAAGGTGGGCCGCAGGGGGACTGTGGAGCCCAGGGCCCTGTCCCGTGACAGCTCGGCCCCTCACAGGTAGCTTAGGGACCTGCGGCAGTGTTCTGCTTCCACTTCCTCTCCCCCACCCTTTGTTGTTTTGCTTTGTTTCTGGTACTGGGGATCAAACCCAGGGTCTTCAACTGGGCTATATTCCCAGCTAAGTTGCCCAGACTGGGCTCAAACTTGTGATCCTCCTGCCTCAGCCTTCCAGAGTTCTGGGATTATAGGGGGGTGGCCACCATGCCTGCTTTAGATTTTGAAAATTTGTGGCTGTCATTTCTTCAAATATTTTCTTTGCCTTCTCTCATTTTGTGATGGAGGGGCTGTAGTTACGTTAGACAACTTGACACTGTCCAACAAAGCACTGCTCATTTTTCTTTTGTCTCTGTTTTCCTTTGGCTGATTTCTACCACTATATCTCAAGTTCAGTAATCTTTTCTCTGAGTGTCTAGTCTACTGTTAATCTCATTTCTAGAAGTACTGTTTATTCCTTTTTTTATATCTTTCACCCATTAAAAGTTATTTTTGGGCTGGGGACATGGCTCAGTGGCACAGTGCCTGCTTGGCAGGCGAGAGGTCCTAAATTCAATTCCTGGTACCCACATTAAAAATAGGGATATGTCAGAGAGAATAGATTAAAATTATTTTTAAAGCCAGGCGTGGTGGCACACACCTGTAATCCCAGCACTCAGGAGGCTGAAGCAGGAGGACTGTTGTGAGTTCAAGGTCAGCCTGGGCTACACAGTGAGACCCTGTCTCAAAAAAATTTTTGTTTTTAGATAATACCTTACTACATAGGGACTTATATAGTCCAAGCTGGCCTCAAACTTCCGCTCTTCTTCTGTGCTTTTTTTTTTTTTTTTGAGATAGGGCCTCCACATGTAGTCCAGGTTCACCTTGGACTGACCTTGAACTCACTACATAGCTCAGGCTGGCCTCGAGCTGTGAGCCATCCTCCTGCCTCAGCCTCCTGAGTGCTGAACTTCCCATCTGCTACCTCAGGCTGTTGCTTCTGGATAGAAAGAGCCCCGTGACTTCTGCCCGGCCGCAAGGCAAAGGAGCAGGGCCTATAAATGGCTGAGTTCCGGGTGAGAGGCAGTGGCTGTGTCCACACCGCAGGTGGGTGTTTGCAGTGGAGGCGTGTGACTGTGTCTGACGTGGCTCCTCGGAGTGCAGGGCTGCGCAGTGGCGTGGGAGTTTTCAAATAACCCATTCAAGCACCGGAGAAACACGGAGGGAGGTGGCTCCGGGAAGCAGTGGGTGGAACCAGCAGCTGAGGGATCTGGGTTCTGGGGAGGTGTCTGTTCCGTCAGGTGCTGCGTCACCGGCCATGGGCGTCGGGCCCCACAAAGCTCGGGGAAGCAGAGAAAACCTCGCCTTAGAGCTGGGGTGAGGCCACAGGTGCTTGGGAGAGGTTTTTTTTTTTTTTTTTTTTTTTGGTCGTTTTGAGACAGGATCTCATTATGCAGTTCAGGCTGGCCTTGAGCTCACTTTGTAGCCCAGCTGGCTTGGAACTCACAGCGATCCTCCTGCCTCAGCCTCCTGAGTGCTGGGATGACAGGCGCCACCACGCCCAGCGTGCCCCTTTGAGCTTATCCAGATGATTTAGTGATTTAGGTCGGGTAGCACTCGCACCCTAATCCTAGTGTCCTTGAGCCTAGCACTATTTTTTTTTTTTT